CCCGGCTGGGCTGGCGCGGGGGCCTGGGCCGCCCGCTCCCCTGCCGGCACACAGCGGGGTCAGCGGCGCTGCCCATCCGGCGGGCCCGTCCCCCCCCATCACCACCGGCACCGGGGGTCCCAGCCCCCAGTGGCCTCCCCGCCCCGCCCTACCGGTCTGCAAGGCGAGGATCTTCTGATGCTGCTGCTCCGTCAAGGCCGTTAAAGCTTTCAAGTGTTTCAAAGTTAATTCCAACACGACGGCTTTCTCCAGGTGCCCCAGAGTCTGCAAAGTGGGGAGGAGGGGAGAGGCTTGGTGACTTGCAGCACCCCTGCGTGGCTTTGTGCCCTAACTTCAGGCAACTCAGGTCATGGAAAAGCTGCTGATCCCCCAGGTTACATCCCCTCAAGTTTAATACCTCCAGGTTTTATTCCCCTAAATTTGACCCCCACCCCCCCCTGCAAGTTAGATTCAGGTTAGACATCAGGAAGAATTTCTTTACGGTAAGGGTTGCCAGAATCTGGAATGGGCTTCCAAGGGAGGTGGTGCTCTCCACTACCTTAAGGGGGTCTTTAAAAGGAGACTTGACAAGCACCTGGCTGGGGTCATCTGACTCCAGCGCTCTTTCCTGCCGGGGGCAGGGGGTCGGACTCCATGATCTGCTGAGGTCCCTTCCGACCCTAATATTTATCAATCCCCACAAGTCTGCTCCCCCAGGTTTGATCCCCCTTAAATTTGATCCCCCCCCCTTAGATTCCCCTCAAGCTTGATCCCCCCAGGCTTTACTCCCCTCAAGCTTGATGCACCACAACTTTCATACCCCCAACCTTGAGGTCCCACTTTTTGATCATTTGCCTGCCGGGTCCCGCGCCTCCTCCCCCTCCCCCCCCCGCGCGGGGAGGGCGCGCTGCCTCCCTCTCTACCTTACAGTCAATTTCAGATGCTCGGGCAATAAATCTTTCAGCTGAGCAATGCACTCGTTAATTCTGTCCCGTCTCTTCTTCTCTATCAATCTGTGGGGCAGCTTGTATGTTTCCTAATGGGTACAAGCAAGAAAAAGGCCAGCGTTAGATGCACTTGCGATGACAAGCAAAACAAAAACAAATGCCGTGCCAACCACATGTAGCGCACGCTAGGAGCACGAGGATGATAGAGCCCTGCCCGATCTGGTCAACCCGCTTACAATGAAGGAGGGGGAGGGAGTTCACAGGAAAGTGAGGCTGGAAGGGATCGCGGAGAGATCCTCCGGCTCGAAAAAAAATCAATGGACCCCAGGAGCATCGTGAAACTTGTTCTTACCTTGCTCTCATCCCTCTTCATGCCTCTTTTGGGCTTGCACATATAGAGAGATGGGTAGTCCAACCTGCAAAACAGAAAGAGGGCTCCAGTAGCAGCAGAATGACGGACCCCTGCGGGGAACGCAAGAGATAGCGCCAGCTCCAGAGAGCAGAGACGTGCAAGACTGTTGCACGTATCCAAAGAGGCTTGGAAAGGAAGAAAGGATCAGCCCCCGGTGCAGCCGGATCTGCCTTTGTCAGTGTGCGGCCGGCAGGCGGGCACTTGGCGAGGAAGGAGGGAGGGAGGCTGGGGAAAGAAGCGAGGGAGCGGGCTGGCTGGCTCCTTACCCTAGAAAATCCCTGTGCTCCAGCAACTGCCTCTCTTGCAGGCGCACCAGTCCTTCATCCATGTCGGACCGCGGCTGGGTTAGGGCTGGCGCTGCCGCGGGGTGCTGCGAGGCTGCGGGGCCAAACCGTGCACATGCAGCCTCAGTCCCTCCTGCGCGGCGGGGAAAGCGGGAAGCTGTGCGCTGCCCTCCTCCCTCCCGCTCCCAGCCGCACTCCGGGCTGGTACTTTGCACTCGCTGCTCAGTGTTTGGCCACAGGGCACGCGCGTCGCCAGCCAGACCAGCACCCAGCTCACGTACGGAGCATACCATCCAACCTCCAGACTGGGGGTTTGGGGAGAGGAGACAGCGCGCGAGGAGGCGGGGACAGCGGATCCAGGCGACCGGAAAAGAAAAACAGCTTGGCCCCGCGATCCCTCTTCCAAGCAGCCAGGCGTCAGCTGAGCAGGCTTCCCTCCCGCCAGGGAGGCAGCAGCCCTCCCCCGAGCCTCCCGCTGGCCGGGGGGCGCCTGCCCGCTCCGGGGATGCGTGGGGGAGACAGCCCGCAGCAGGAAGGACGGGGCTTCAGTCACCAGGGGCTGGGCAAAACAGCCAAGCGCCTGGGAAGGAGGAGGAGAGGGGGGCGGGCTGGATCTCGGTTTGACAGGATGGGACTTGCACATCAGCTGTCTGGAAAGCAACACAATGTTGCATTGAAACATATGTCCTTTTCTTCCCCCATGTGCCAAGTCCCGGCGGGAGACGGAGATCTCCCTCTCCGGGCACTCCAGGCTCTCTCCACTCCCTGCTTCCCAACTGAGTCTGGGAGCAGTCTCCAGCCAGATCTGAAACTGGATTGTAGAGACTGCATTCACAGTGTGAAATGTGAATTTCACATTTTTCCTTCCTTGCTCAGATGAATCATCTGTCCCCCTCCTCTCATACATCCGGCCCGCTTTTATTTTTTTAATTTATGTTGTGCCTTAAAGAGTACTTTCAGAAATAAATGTAGCCAGATCTCTTTCTCTCTCTCTCTCCCCCCC